AAAAAAAAAAAAAAAAAAAAAGTAACAGTGTAGCTGATTTGAGTGCCTGTACTTCATGCAAATATATGCATCTCATATTTTTCTGGACACGAATAATTTTTCGGAAAATATTTACCATATTATCTTCTGGCTTATGCTTCTCTTTAACATTATTCATAATTATATGTTGTATAAACGAGGCGAATGGAAATAAAATACATGAAAAGGCGGTATTATAATATAATGTGAATAAAAAAAAAAAATAAATCGCGTGTTGTTCCAGTGGAATCTCATATCACAGAATGCAGTATTTTTTCAACGAGTAAGCCTTACGTAAAACAAATGACCCGCACTTTCTGATTTTTCTATGTTAAATGTCAGACAATATATGTATATTGTATGTATATCTATTTATATGTCTCCATTTAAATGAATAGTTATAGGAAAATTAACACCATTTTAAATGAATATGCTAATGATAAAAATAATATATAAGTTACTAAAATCTGTCCAACATAGAAAATAGTATTAATTACTAATATCTTTAAATTCTAAGTTAATGTAAAAACAAATATGTAACTAGATTTGTTTAAATCACGATATTTATTTAAGTTACAATATTTTATTTTAACAAATGTAACCAACTATTTATTTGCATTTATGTGCATGTAATTATTTATTAATGATAAATACCATAATTAGATTGTGGTATTCATATAATTTGATAAAATGAAATACAACAATTTAGTATTCATATGTTTCTAGTTTAGATAAAAAGACCAATGAAATACTTATATACATAAATATTATCTCATCATTTTGAAACGAAAAATGTCCCTAGCATTTGGCGCGTAAATAAATATCGCGCCAAATCAATTAATTATGGCGTCAAGTGAATGTGAATAGTTGGTGCAGTGTATCTTCTTATGAAAATTTTATAATTTTCTTGTTTAATGCATGCAAAAATTTTTTAGATATATTGTTTAATACGTATTCAATTAATTATAAGTAATATTTTTATAAACAAATATGGATCAAGACAATTGTTCAGTGACATGTTCCGTTGTAATCGAATGGACTAATTCACAAGGTTCGATTGTAAAGAAAACAAATCATCGATCAGCAACTTTACGCTTAATTCGAAACAATTTTCGTGAAATTTATATCGAAATACGTGCAGAGAAAGCAAACACAACCACGAAATTATCGCTAATATCTATATCGGTTTTTAATAAATTTATGACCGAAGGAAAAGCTTCTATTAAATTTAAAAAAGAAAATTGTACACTATTTTTATCGAATGCACCGACAACTCAATTAATCAATTTTTTGAAAATGATATACATCAAGATCTCGGATCAAGAAGATAAAGTGAAAAATTCAGTAAAAGAAAAATTACTTTCTAATAAATCGTTCGTTGGTTATCAAGAAATTAGTCCCGCTACAAGTACCGAAACGAATAGAGCTAAAGAGAAGGCTCTCATTGTATCACGTGCAACAATTACGACACCATCCCCTAGCGCTATTAAAAAGAGAAAACGGATCGATGAAAATGAAAATACATTGAAACCATTTACTAAGAAGAAACTCTACGAAAATCCAACAATAGAACAAGTTACGGAAGAACAGAATAGAATCTTGGATGCAGTACTTCGTGGTAAAAATATATTTTTTACTGGCAGTGCAGGTACCGGAAAGTCTTTCTTATTGAGAAAAATAATAGCGGCTCTTCCTCCTGACGTCACGATTGCTACAGCAAGTACCGGAGTAGCGGCATGTCATATAGGCGGAATAACTTTACATCAATTCGCTGGAATTGGATTAGGAACCGCAAATTCGGAAAGATGTTTTGAAATGGCTTCTCGTAGTTCCTCTGCTGCTTTATGGAGAAAAACGAAACATTTAATCATAGATGAAATTTCTATGGTAGATGGGGATTATTTTGATAAGATTGAAGCTGTTGCTAGACATATTCGTAAAAATGAAAGACCTTTTGGTGGAATACAATTGATATTATGTGGAGATTTTTTTCAATTACCACCAGTTTCAAAGAAAGATAAAAAAGCAAAATTTTGTTTTCAAAGTAATGCATGGACAAAATGTATACATTTCAATTATGAATTACAAACTGTTTACAGACAAAAAGATCCTGAGTTTATTAAAATTTTAAATAATATTAGAATAGGTAGAGTGACAGATGATATTGCAAAAATCCTTAAGGCAACAGCTAAACAAAAAATAGAGAATAATGGTATTTTAGCAACAAGACTTTGTTCTCATGTAAATGAAGTTGAAGAAATTAATGAATTTCAATTAAATGAATTAAAAGGTGAATCTAAAACTTATATAGCACAAGATTCTGATCAATCAATGACTAAAATATTGAATCAACAATTGACTGTTCCTGATAAATTAATATTAAAAATAGGTGCTCAAGTAATGTTGTTAAAAAATATAAATGTTTCTAATGGATTAGTGAATGGAGCAAGAGGGGTGGTTATTAAGTTTGCAGATAATATTCCAATAGTGCAATTTAAATCAGGTATTCAATATCATGCAAAACTCGAAAAATGGAATTTAAGAACAAATATAGGAACTATTGTTCATAGAAAACAAATTCCATTAAAGTTAGCATGGGCTTTTTCCATTCATAAAAGTCAAGGTTTAACTCTAGATTGTGTTGAAATGTGTCTTGCAAGAGTATTTGATGCTGGTCAGTCATATGTAGCTCTTTCAAGAGCACAAAGTTTGCAATCTTTAAGAGTTTTAGAATTTAATAATCAACAAGTATGGGCTCATTCTGATGTACTTATGTTTTATAAAAAATTTAGAAGAAATTTACAAGAAATGGAAATAATTCCTGTAGGAAAGAAGCAAAAAATATAAATGAAATAATCATGTATAAATAAAATATTATTTTACTTATTTATATTTTTATTCTTACTTATTTACTTATTACTTATTACTTATTTATAATTTTATTTCACTTTTTAATTTTAATTTTTATTTTATTTTATTTTTTTTTATCTTTTCTTTGACTACTAATTGAAATCAACTAATTGTATTATTTTAATTATGTTGAGAAGATATTGAGAGAATTGAAAACACAAATTTTTTTTTTACAATTTATTAAAAAAAGTAAAAGTTTCTAAATTTTATATATAATTGCATTATAACAAAGCATAAATATATTTTATTTTTTCTTTTCCTTTCATTAAATATTACAAAATCACGCATTTAATAATTTCATATATATATATATTAATAATCGTCAACTGTGATTTCTATTGATGGTATATAACGCCAAGTATGTCCAGCATTTATTAATTCTGAACAAAGAATTGGTGTATTTGGAGCTGATTCTTTACTGCTACATTGAATATCTATTTTATACTGACCAGCTGTAAAAAATACTACACGACATTCGTGATAAATTCTTCCATATTCTTGTAACTAGAAAAAAAAACAAAGTTATCAGAGCAATATAGAATATTATTAAGATTTTTTTTTATCAATAAAATAACTCACTGCTGGAAGCATAATTTTATTTGCACCAGCAATGGATAATCTTGTTTCTAATTGATAATTATTCACGCCATTATGATGATCTTGATAAAAATTAATAGATAACATAAGATCACTCAATGGATGTTCTAAAGCATTACATATTCCTATTCCGACACTAACGCATTCACCTAAGCTACATGTAAGTTCATCTTGTGCCTTTACAACTGTATCATTTATTTTAATCTCTGAAAAACATACGAAATTATTAATTATTAGCATTAAATGAAAATTTAATTTTTATACATTGTATACAATATACTATTGTATACAATGATTAGTAAAACATACCCCATTGTAGAGGACTCATTCTAACGAGATCTAACATATCTTGGGTAAGAGTAATGCCAGAAAGAGTCGCTTTTCCGGTCGATTCTGTGCCCAATAATTGCCAGCGTAAATCAACCAACGATGCAATATGTTCGGAACAAACTTTTTGAAGTTCTCCGATATCACCATTTCCATTTAACTGTATTAATAAAATATAAAAAAAAAACAAATATTTTTTTATTATATCATAAAAAGAATTACATATAATATTTTTAATTACCATAGATAATTTATTCAATGGGCATCGATCAACTGGAACAGGGATTCTACAAGGTTCTTTTCCCTCCATGTATATACATTTAGTTTCCGTATAATACAATTCCATTTCATGATTAGTCATATTTGTTAAATCTAATACAAGATAAAATTGCGATGGTCTGAAAATATATTACAATTATATATACAATATATAAATATGTTATATATTACGACATCTTATATGTACATTCGTAATCTAATAATATATTATCTACTTACGTTTCTGCTGGAAGTACATCCCAATTTGTAATTTGCACACTAGGTAACATCTCAACTGTGATAAAAACTGAAGAAATACGACAATAACCTGCCGTTAAACCTGCACCACCCGAATATTTTATTTTTAATTGACCTTCAATAACATTTGAGGTATGCAATGGAACTGCAAGTTTAGACAAACGCGAACTCGCTAAGGAAGAATGTCCCGAATGAGAACTTAATCCTGACCTGAATGAGGAAGTTAATTCGGATTGTCTCTTTGTATGCGACGGAGAACTTAATCTAGATGGTAATGAACTATGTCCTGAATGAGACATTAAACTGCTGGGTTGACTAACATATGTACTACTACTAGTATCTGAAAACATATTTAAAATATCTAGCAATCAATTAAATTATAATTGTTATAAAAAATAATAAGAATAGAAACAGTTTTTATTCAATATTACCGTTTCGAGATGTAGGTGCTATAAAATCGGTAGCTGCATATAAATATAAAATAAAACTAGCATTAGAGCCAGGTTTTAATGGTAATTGTGCCATTAAATTTTCATCATTCCATTTAAATATTTTACTTTCAGTTAATGTGTCTAATGTTGATTGCACTGATAATTCGATTGTTTCAATAGGAAGTTGACCGTTATTTTTAATTGTTATAGTACATTCGGCACTGTAACATTATTAAGTTCTATAGAAAAAAATTATATAACCGATGTTTTATTTATTTAATAAAATATACCTTTCTCCGCCATATAATGATATACTTGCACTAGTTACTATATTGTCTCCAGAACAAAAACTTGCAGTTTGAGGTAAACTTGTAGCTACTTCTATTCTCGGTAAAGCTGGAACTACTTCAACTGTATATTGAGAATGACTCATTTCCTCCATATATCTTAATCTACAATTTGATTTCACTCCCAATGTATGCGTACTAAAACCAAGAATTTCTAAATCTCCGATTTCTTTAGGATTGCCAGCTAACGTTACCGCAATTGGTCCTGATTCAGCAGGAAGTGTAATACTTTCAGGAATTGATTCAAATACTACACCGTTTGTAAGGAGTCTCATGTTAGAAACGTGAAGTTCAAACGGCAAAGGATTAATAAGTTGCATCGATACTTCGCAAATATCACCTTCTACCCATAAATAATCTGTAATCATTATTTTACAATAAATATAATTTTATAGGTAACATCTAATCAATGTACGTACCAACTTTACTTTTAGATATATTTTTTCTTTCTAATGATCCGAAATTAATTGGTGTAAATAAAAATGGACCATGATCTTCTTTCACTCTTTCGATTTTTTGAGGTTGAAGATGCGGTTGCATATTTTTTAAAATAAATGATTTAGTTTTCGGAATATTCGTTAAATTAGCAGGAGGTATAACTGTACCAGAATCTAAAACCTATTAGAACAATTTGATTAACAATTTTGGAAATCGCTTCATTTTTCCTTGAAACTTACAAGAGGTACAGGAGCGCCTTCGCATTGTTGAGATACATTTTGAAGTTGCAAAGCAGTTTCTTTACGTTCGTTAGGAGTTAAATAATTATACATTGTTTGAAGTAAGAATGTCATATGTCTTGTTGCTAATGCTGGATTACCCATACGATTAGCAGCAGTAACAAGTTCATTTATTACTTGAATTTGAATAATAGGCCAACCTCTATGACATTCTATACAAATAAATTTTTATTTAACATTTTCACGATAGCACAATGAAAATTTATCTATCCATAAAAAGAAATTACCAGGAGACATATCAACTGGATCTAAAGATAATTTAAATCCAGAAGTAGCTTGTAGCATCAAATTATAACATTGTTGCCAATCTGGATTAGGATTATTTTGAGATACATGTCGCGTTGCAGCTAATCTTAAGCAAAAGGATGCTTTTCTTATAAAACCAAAACTTGTGTATAAATCTGATAATGTGGTAAACCGATCAATCTACAATATTGCACAATTATTGTTATATTTTGATACTTAATAAATCAATAACATTCCAGATTATGTCACATACTTTTTCTTGCTCACTCAATGGCAAGTTTATAAGTATAACATTATTTAAATAAGAAGCAGCTTGTAAAGTACAATTTTGTTCTATTGAAATTCTTGTAGCTTTAAAGCTAGCTTCTGTCTCAATTATTCCAGCATATTGATATTTGCTATAATGAACTATTGCCTCACGATATTTTTTTGATATTTCTTCAGGTAGTAAAATATGTGGCATATTACTTTTTACTATTTCTATAGCTGGTGGTGATAGTAAAGTAGCTATAGCTTGTGAACCTCTTCTAAATATAATAATAAATTATTATCTATATTATGTAAGATATCAAAGTTTCATATCTTAAATTATTTTACTTAATACATACCTTTGCTTACCTGGACTACCTTCTTGAAGGGAAGAATTTCTTTGTAATGGAAGACTTCTACACATATTTGGATATAGCACTAAAGCAGATGCAGCACATAAACCTTCAAATGCTGCTCCTAGCCATAACCAATCATTTACAGCTTGTAATACACTAGCTGCAGAATTATAATTACTCAAGGCATCTGCTGGTAGACCAGCTTGAAGACACAAATCACCTAAATGTTTTGTCATACGGCCTACACATCTTTTTCTATTATTTCTAGATTCCAGATCTAATCCTATGAAATCTTTTTTTTCAAATGGTGCCAACAAAAGGGACACTCTGTCTATTTTTTCTCTAGATCTTTCTAATCTTTTAGATTCTAAAATCCAGAATAAAGAGTTTAAACACTCCATTACATGAACTTCAAGATCAGGACATGTCTCATCTGTATAAAATACTGCTCTAGTTTTAAAATTTAAAGGTGTACTAAATGATGTTGGTGGTTCGTGTACATTATTTGATTCTAATGGTCCAAAAAGAATAGCACGTGAATCATATAATGTTGCACTGTATTTCACTTTTAAAGTTTCATGAACTCTACATAGCTCATTTAATTCTGCTTGATTGTCATATTTGCCAAAAGTAATTAATCCTAATAATCTTCTGTGAGTTTGGAAATCTCCCCAATCATTATTTTCAACAGGATGTTCCCTAACGAATCTAGCAAGAATTTCACGTGTTCCACCAGTAGAATCAGCCACAGAAAATCTACTGCCTGTTTTAATTATCCGTTCACATAACCTGGTAATAGTCTTTTGTTTGATTTGTGTACCAATAGGTCTCAAAAGTAAAAGCAATGCTGCATGATCATGTGCAGTTTGCTCGTAATCGGGATGAGACATCTTGTTGTCGGGTACTGGACTCGACAAAATAACGCTAATAGCCGAGCGCATTTATATCACTCACTACTTAGTAGTTTTTTACGGTACTTATAGGTTCACATAATAATAGATAATAACAGATATATAACAATTCTTTAACCGAATAATCAAATTTTGTATTCATTTTACAAATATTTAATATTTCATTTCATTTTGATAATTGTTGTGCTATATTAGCAGACATGATTAATAAAACAACTGCCATGTTCAACAAACAGATCAAATGCGCGTGCGTTACAAGAAGTTTATCAAGTAACACTCGTATTCGTATTAGTAATTATTGGAAAAGGATGAATTTGTTAACCTTTTTCGAAATATGTTTGCTGTAATAAATGAAAGTTTTTAAAACTAATATATAAATAAAATCCATATTGTTTATCAACATAATTATATTTTATTTTATTAAAGTTTTAATATAAATTTTATTAAGTTTTTTTCATAAATATGGAGCATATAATTTTATAAAAGAAATATATATTTTGATATATGGAAATTATAAATATTATTATTGAAATTTCTGATAATTGCAAGAAAAGTTTTAATTTCTAGAAAATATAAATCTCGCTTTAAATGGAAAAAAATACATTTATTATAATATTATTAATATTATTTCTATATTTTCAAAGCTTGTACAAAATTGACCAGCAAAATGATAATTGCTTTTTAAATGTAAAATACTTTGTTAAAGATAAAAAATATAAATTTTAATAAATAAGAATATAATAGATAAGAATAAAGTATAGATATTAAATTTGAAACTTTTTGCGAGCATAAATTTTATTCAATGTATTACATACATATATTATCTTTATCTATTAAATTGTTGTTACATATATTTATTAAATTGTAGATATACATATATTATACAGAAAATTGGCACATTAAAAAAGTAAGATACAAAATATCTTACTTTAATTTAACAATTCTTACTATATAAAAGAATAGGTAGAATGAAATATATTATTATAAAAAAGAAAAAAATAAAAATTTAAAATTAAAGTGAAAATACATTAAAAAAGTATGTAAATTTAAAAATTTAGAAAAAATTGTTTAAATGTATACAGAGATATATTATACAAGTAATATATATAATTGTATATATGTATAATTGAATATAATTATTCAAAGATTTTTATTTAAATTGAATTATTAATATAAAAAAAATTTATAAACTATTCTTTTTTTTTTTTTATTTTTTTCTTTT